ATACTCTTAACTATTACGTTGCTCCCATTGTGAAGGAAATCATATCAAATTCCATTCCTCAGAAGACGAGAATATATAAAAGGGTTAGGACAATCCTGGAAGATGGGTTTTACTTTTGTGGCCGAAAATATTCATTTTTGGCTTTTTCATCAAATCAACTTAGAGATCGTTCTGCATGGTTTTTTGCCGAAGACAAAAACATAAGCTGTAGTGATATAAGAAATTGGATGGGAAAATTTACTCAGAAGAATGTTGCAAAGTGTGCGGCTAGAATGGGACAATGCTTCTCATCTACTTATGCATCAGTGGACGTTGCTGCGAATCAAGTTAACTCAATGCTACCAGATGTTGAGAGGAATAATTATGTTTTTTCTGATGGCATTGGTATCATCACTAATGATCTTGCAGAAGAAGTAGCTGAAAAATTGAAATTGGACAAGGTACCCTCTGCTTACCAGATCAGGTACGCCGGTTTTAAAGGGGTTGTAGCCTGTTGGCCTTCTAAAGGAGACGGAATCAAACTTTCTTTGAGGCCCAGCATGAACAAGTTTCAGTCTACTCATACTACCTTGGAAATCTGTGCCTGGACGAGGTTTCAACCTGGTTTTCTTAACAGGCAGATTATAACATTGCTTTCAGCTCTGGACGTGCCTGACGAAATATTCTGGAAAATGCAGGAGAGTATGATTTCAAAGTTGAATCAAATGCTGGTTGATTCAGAAGTGGCATTTGATGTTCTTACCAAGTCATGTGCTGAGCATGGAAATGCTGCAGCAATAATGTTAAGTTGTGGCTTCAGTCCCAAAACAGAACCTCATCTTAGAGGCATGCTAAATTCTATCCGTGCTGCGCAGCTTTGGGGCCTTAGAGAAAAGTCTAGGATTTTTGTTTCATCTGGGAGATGGTTAATGGGTGTTTTAGATGAGTTGGGTGTGCTTGAACAAGGGCAATGCTTTGTTCAAGTTTCTACTCCTTCTCTTGAAAACTGTTTTGCAAAGCACGGCTCAAGGTTTTCAGAGACAAACTCCCTGCATGTGGTTAAAGGTCATGTGGTGATAGCCAAAAATCCATGTCTTCACCCTGGAGATGTGAGAGTTTTGGAGGCAGTTGATGTCCCGGATTTACATCATTTATATGATTGTCTTGTTTTCCCTCAAAAGGGCGAAAGACCCCATACAAATGAAGCTTCTGGAAGTGACCTTGACGGGGATCTGTATTTTGTCACGTGGGATGGAAATCTCATTCCACCTAGTAAAAGGAGCTGGACACCTATGGAGTACACTGCTCAAGAAAGCCGGACTCAAACACGGATAATCACTATCCGGGTAAGTGTTTTTTGAATGTCATCTATGTAGTTCCCTAGCTAATGGCATAATGCTTTGTGTATGAACACAAATGGATATAATAATATAGGACTTTTGTTTTTCACATGAATTTTTCATAGCATCATGCCTTTGATTAACAGTTCACGTGACATGTTTTCTACAACAAAGACTTGCCAAAACTAATAAAATTTCATGTTGGGGATGGGGAGATATTTCTTCTGATAGAGCATAAAAATTTGAGTCCGCAAAGAACTGTTTTTAATTCCACACATGTAATTGATTATATCAGGAAATGTTTAGTTCTTACACATACAATTATAACCTCTGATTTATATGTTATGGGTGTGTTATCTTGTTGAGTATGTATTGCGAAAACAAGTCATCCGTATTAAGTTATTTTGTCTTCCACACTGCAGGAAATCATTGATTTTTTTGTCAAAAACATGGTGAATGAGCAATTGGGTGCAATCTGTAATGCACATGTGGTACATGCTGATTCCAGTGACTATGGTGCTTTGGATGAGAAATGCATACACTTGGCTGAGTTAGCAGCCACTGCTGTTGATTTTCCAAAGACTGGCAAGCTTGTCTCTATGCCTCCTAATCTGAAACCCAAGCTGTACCCTGATTTTATGGGGAAAGAACATCACCAATCATACAAGTCGAAAAAAATCCTGGGCAGACTTTACCGGCGTATCAAAGACGCGTATGATCAAGATATTGATGCACCTGAAGTGAACTGTGTGTCTGGTGATATAAATTATGATACAGATCTTGAGGTTCCAGGATCTGCTGATTTTATTGATGATGCATGGGAACAAAAGTGCTCTTATGATGGCCAGTTAAGTGGATTACTGGGTCAGTACAAAGTGAAAACTGAAGAAGAAGTTGTAACTGGTCAGATCTGGTCCATGCCTAAATACAACAGTAGGAAGCACGGGGAACTTAAGGAGAGGCTGAAGCACTCATACAGTGCTCTCAAAAGAGAATTTAGGCAAACCTTTGAGAAACCGAATTCAGATGTTGGAGAATTAGGTGATGAAGAGAAAAATTTGATGTATGAACAGAAAGCTTCTGCCTGGTATCAGGTGACTTATCATCCTAAATGGGTAAAAAAATCCCTTGATTTGCAAATTAAATCCTCAGATGATCAAGAGGCAGATAGTTTGAGGAACGTGATGTTGAGTTTTCCTTGGATTGCTGTTGATTACCTAGCTCGCACAAAGATAAGGAATCGGAAAGTTGGAAGTTTTGATTCAACCAAGCCGGTTGATTCACTGGCGAAATATCTATCTGAAAGGTTATAGTTCTATGTCGCTCTATCTTGGCTACAAGGCCGCTCTGCCACCGTCAATAGGTTTTCCTTTTGGTATTCAGTTAAACTACTATAGTTGTAACGAGTTATGTATATCTCTACTTACATTACCCGCATATGCTTGAGAGTTAAAATTGTAACAAGTGTTCTTGATACTTTTGATTGTAATCTGTTGGCCTTGTGTTAGGCTTGTGATTATAATGCTGTGAAACTTTCAGACTTTCAGTATTTAAAGTTAGTAAATTACAACTTCCTTGAGTTTAGTTTGAACTTTTTATTTTTATTTGTTCAGCTAGTTACTTTGTTGAGTGTGTGCTAAGTGCTGTTTCTTTTGAAGAAATTTCACCAATTCAAGTTGGTAAATATAGCAGTTCTCATTCCAGAGTGAAAACTTTAGAACATGCTGGTGGTGTATCCCCCACCAACAAAACTTGTGAAAACGAATACTTCAAAAAATTGTACTAGTTCCCCCACTAAAGTACATAGAAAAAGACATTGTTGACATGACCTTGCGTCATTTCAACAGTCATAAATAAAGGATATTAATAAACTGTAGCATGCTATAAACACACCAAAAAAAAGAAGCTCTACACCACAAATTGCACTAAATAAGACTATTGAGATTTTTCCTCATCCCTTTTTGTATGATCAAATTTTCAACTGCCACAATTATTTATTTACCAACATATTCATCACTGTGTTATATATTTAATGACATAGTGATAAAAGTCTTAACTCATTGATGGCAACAGTATGCATTACTTTGCTCCATGATGCATGGGAGTATTTATTGATATGCCAGCTACTTGTGCCCTCTCTTCCTTTATGTCAATTTCTTCATTATGGTATTGTAGACTTCGTGGCTTCTATGCTTGTTTAACTCATAAATGTAGGCCATATACTTTTTATACTCTGAAACCGTTAGCTTTCATTCATTTTGCTACTTTTAAACCTTCACAGCCATTTATTTGCTTTTAACTCAGCTTGGAAACTATGATACATCAGTACAATTGTGTCAGAAACTTTAGGGAAAATAATGGCTAGTGGCATGTGATTTTCATAGTCCTATTTACTTTGCTTTTGAATATTCATTTATAAAACATGTACCACCTAAACATGTGATTGCATACAAAGAAGGTAGTGATTCAACTTAGTCTTTTTTCTTTCGAATCTTGTGAATTATGGATAGCTTTGTAAATGAAAAATGATATTTTTCATAAGATGAAAAAATTGATACTTTTTTAAAGATGAAAATATTAAAAAGGAAATATTGAGAATTATTCAACCAGAGGTCCCATAGCTTAGAGGACATGGTCCAAAAGGTCCAAAAGTGAGCAACTATTTAAGACAAATGACCTATATTATATGCATGTCATTACTACAAGGGCACATTTCTGAGGCCAAAATTTTGGCGACTACAGATATTTGTAGAAAGGTAGGGTATAAGATACATAATGATAAAAATAATTTATTATTGACACGCTAATAGATGACTGTCGTCGCTACGGCGCCATTCTGGCATCACTGCAACCATTCATTTTTTGTCATGCTGTATCTGTCCAATGTATTATTGACACTGCTATCCAGCTCTTCTCACTTGATACTCATTCATGTATTTGTGAGTTATACTCCGTTTGTCATCTTTTAATCGGTCGATACATCAACTAGCACCATAGTCAGATTCGCGATCTCGAGGCAACCTTCCTGGAATGCTTTATGACCTCATTGCACCGCCTCAGTGACATGGATTTGGAAAACAGGAAGGGAATTCTCATGAAAATACTCTCTTAAAGTAAAAAAAAGTCTGAATACGGAGATAGATGAATTGCAGTTTTTGCTATAACTAGTTAGAACTTTGAATTCAGATGCAAATATATAGAAGAAGAAAATAATACAGTTAGCAGCTTAGTTAATTACAATTATTGCTTCAATTATGCATCAGAAAGTCCATTTGATAAGATACATCTTTAATTAGGCCCCAAATGTTCCTTTACCTATCAGGTCATGTTCTGATTGGTATGGTTTAGTTTTTCTTCAACCATTGCTAATTCAAAGAACAATTGAAATTGACAGATTAATTTGCTTTTTATATAACTTTTCAATAATTCCAACACACCCTTCTTCTGAATTTGATACAAATTCTCATGTTTCCCAACCACAATATATTATATACTATATTAAGTAACTATCAAAGTGCTTATTATCTATTTATCAGCACTTTAACAACATATAATATTTTACAGAAAACACAAAAGTACATGAAAAAGATAGCTGAGAATGGCATGGCATGGCATGGAGTTGCTAAATTCTTAAGAACCATGACATGACATGGAATGTTCCTATTTTCTTCGTGCCGAGAGTTAATCGCTTGAAGTCGAACCACATGGATAGTTCCAATTAAGTAACTCTTCAATCATCTGCAAAGCAACTCTTTCCTCTTCTTCTACTACCACCCTATTTTCAATATCAGCATTAGCATTATTACCATCGATAGTGTGTTGTGAAGTTCCCATCTCTGACTCTGCAGTTTTTTTCTTCCCACCAAGCTCAACCCTCATGACCCAATTAGAATCAGAATGTGATCCAGCTCTTTTTTGCCACACTCCAATGTGAGAATTATCAGTATCTAGCCTCAAACAAGTGAGTGACGGAGAAGGGTCTTTGCAATACTTCCTAAGCTTTGTGCTGAGTAGCTCAGAGAGTGCCTTGGGTGACAAGAAAGAGTCATTCCCACCACCACTACCACCTCCACCGCCACCACCACAATTAGTGTCCACAGCATCTTCACCTTGATTCTTCGGGAAATTAGTCTTCGCACTTTGACCATTCATCAGAATTGCAGCTTGATCATATGCTCTTGCCGCCGCCTCTGCTGTCTCAAATGTCCCTAACCACACCCTTCTCTTTCTGCACATTTCATCAAACACAAAACACAAAAAAACAACAACTATTAACTATAACAACAGATAACAAAATGTGACAGAAAAAAACAACATTTATAGGTGCATTGTATGGATTTGATTGGAAGATAGATAAATGAGGTAACATACAACAAAGGGTGGCGAATTTCTGACACCCAAGAGCCCCACTGGCGTTGCCTGACTCCTCTGAACTTCTTTGTTTGTTGTACCATATTTGCAGTGAGGGGAATGAATGAATAAATAATAAAGGTTATGTTTTTATATAAAATATGAAATGTGAGTGAGTGAGTGATGTTGGTAAATTTATTTATATTAGGTTGTCGGTGTGGAAATTGGACGGAAAGTGGAATTTAAACAAACAGTACATATGCAATAAAAGTTTCACCAGCACAAGTTTGATAAATACATAGCTAACTTGTTAATTAACTACTGAAATAAATGAGGTGAAGCAGGTAGGGTTCTCTTTTTTGGCTATTCTCATCATAATGTATGCATATGCTATGTTACATCTACTCTCTAGACTTGACTAGAGAGTTTGTATTTCCTATCCACATGCTTAATTTTTCATACGTGGAATGTGAGGGGTTCGAATCCACAAAGGTCCGAATTCGCATTTATATACTTGATGTTTTTACAGAACTATCAATTAAATTAACTTAACAAAAAAACATATTAAAAGTGAATAAACAAAATGTTACTGATTCGAATCCGCACTCATATATCTCGGATCTCTGCACATAGATGCTTTTTTAGGTAAATTTGAAATATCATCAACCGTTTGGTACGGATTATTTCCGTTTATGTGAAAACGTTAAAAAGTGATATGTTATTATCACGTGAATTATAAAGTATGCCAACACTATTACACTTTTGTGTAGTGTAAAGTACTAGTATATCTAACATTCAAATTTTAGTGTAAATTTAGACTTTAGTTATTTATAACTTTTGATAGTGTTTTTTAGTGAATAGCAATTATTGTTAGGAGCATTAATCTAAGAGGAGAGTTCAACATAAACGAATGGGTAGTCTATTATTTATATAAGTTGGTAAAATTTATTTATAAGTCTCGCTTTTAGGTAAGGTTTCTATCTTAAATAACTTTGGACGGAGTTATCAAGTTACTTATTTTATTATAAATTATATTAAAAAATTTGTTTTTCAGGTAATGAAACACAATTAATGCTTCCGCATTGAAGAATTAAAATATAAATAAATTATTGAATGATTATTTTGTTATAGAGTAAAAACAAAAATAAAAGAAAAAATTATTCAATAATTTTAAAATATAATAACACGTTGAATTTCTTTTGTATATATTTAAGTAATTTTTATTTTTCAAACATAAAATAAAATAAAAATTGATATTTTAAACTTTTATACACAGTAATTTATTATTTAATATTGATATATTTTTTTATAAATATTTATAATAATATATATATTTTGCCCTTTCTAACTAAAATTTTTAGATCCGCCATAGCTAGCTAATGTAGTAATCGAAATAATTATCCTTTAAATTTATTATTAAGAGATTCCAACTCAAATACTTATTAAGTTTATGTACATATCACAATAAAATCAAATACTTATGATAAATATGATTAAATGAAGTCTTTTGATATTATTTTTAGTCTAGTAAGATTATTCACATTTTGGTGAAACTTAATTAATTTTGGTAAATTAAATAAATACTATTAAAAAATTGTAGACATAATTGTTTAAAAAATGATATAATTAAAAAGAAAATATTACATAAAAAATATTTATTTATTAATTTATATTATATAATATAGATATATTTTGGCGTCAATAAGTTATGTATGTTTTTTTATTTTAACTTTTTCATATTTTAATTTAATTTGAAAATTAAGGAAACAATTTTGTCATATCAAGAATATGAAGAAAATAGTATTTTTCATTTTTCGTAATTATCGTCGCATTTACACAATTATTTTATTTTTATAAAATATGTTATTTTAAATTCTCAGTATAATTTTAGTTAATTTAAATCTATTACCTTCTCTCTTATTTAATTAATACTATACAATAATTTTTACTTATAAAAATAAAAAATACAATAATTGATGAAGATAATTTAATAAAGTTATAATGTTTTCTTTTATTTATATTTTTTATTAGTTTTAATTTTTTTTTTTTAAAATGGTCAAATACGACCGTTTATTGTATAAAATGGAGGGAGCTTTAGCCGACAGATATTTGTCATGACATTAAGATTTTTTTAATGAAAGAGAAATCATGTGATTAAGATAGTTAATTACCTAATTAAGCAAACATAACATGTATGACCACCACTATACATTTATCCATAATAAAAAAAAATAGAAAACTTAAGACAATACCTAACTTTTTGTCTTTTTATTTAAATTTCTTATTGGTCATAATCATAATAATAAATTCATACAAATAAACATATCTTTTATTTATATTCTTATATTTTTACAAAAACAAAAAGGTGTTTTATTTTGTTTTGGTGTAACGTGTAAGTTAAGGCAAAATCAATTATTTATTTATGAACAGAAGTAATTGACTTGGTCATCTTTGATCATTTCATGGCTGGAATGGTTTGTCTTTGAGAAAGAATGGTTGGAAAGTTGTTGAGGTCGTTAATAAGTATTTAACTAATTAACTAATTATATAGAAAATTAAAAACAGATGTCACATTGTTATTTGATATTGGCAAGTCAATTTATTGGTAGGCCAAATGTTGTTTTGGAAATATTGCGACAAATCACAGCTCGTACGATATTACATGTGCAAGTCCATTCCATATACTGTTGTTGAGGACATGAGAGACATTGGAAAATTTATATATGGGCCTTGAATAATTAAAGTAGGGTAATTCATGTTTAATGTTTTTTCAAGTAGGGTAATAGTATTATTGTGAGAAGTTTTTTAATTCATTTTAATCATTATTTTTTGGTTGTCTAATAATTTCTTTGTTGAAGTTAAAGATTGACTATTCGAATTACAAAGATATATTTTAGAATTGATTGCGATCAAATGTTTAAGAGATTTAATTATTTGTTAATTGTGTTATATTATAATGATTAAAATTATATATTATTAGATTTTCTATTTTAATTTTATAATATTTTAAATTATTAAGTGAGACAAGCCAACAGTTAGACACAAAAACTAAGTATTTCATTTCAATAAGTAGTAAATAACGTTATAAAATTAACCAAAGTATTTTGATGGTATGAAAGAATAGAGATAAAAAAGAGAGAGAAGAAACAACTATAATATTATCCGTTCACATGTATATTTTACATTGCAATATAGATTCTATTTACAATCGCATAAATGTAACTAATTACTAATTACCAATAACAATTACATTTAATCGTGGAATTAGGGCATATAAAGTTTCTGTGAAAAATGGATACTTGTATTTAATATTTTTCATAACATTATCTTAGATGTCCATTTAGGATATATCTCATTAAAATTTTATTAAAAAATTTAATTGAAAATTTTTTTAGTGAAAGAAAAAGAATTCAACATCATTTGGGAGAAAACTATCTCATTTAAAATCATACTAGAAAAATCTAATGAGACAAAACCATGGTGAAGAGAAAAAAAGTGAAAATATATTTATTTTTCCCCCTCATGCATACATTTATATGTGAAATATTCTTGTTGGAATAAAATTTGTTTATACTCTTAAAAGGTTTTGATGATAATAATGTATTTAAAAAACAACAGAGTTTGCTAATAGTTTTTCAAGTGTGTAGGATCATAAGTTAAGAATATCATGAATTAATTCTATTGAAAGCATAAGTGAAGGAGCAATACTACTCATATTCTGATTGATCAGAATCGGAATATGTTCATCGACATCTGAAAGTTCAGACTCTGGTATGCTGCTTTACCCTCCGGTGACACCTCAGATCCTGAAGGCTTAAGGAGCGTCTTGTTAACAATAGTGAACACAGAAACATAGAGAAGGAAAAAGACCCTTTGACTTAGGGTTTTAATAGAATGAGAAAAAAACTAGAGAATAAGGATTACACCAGAGTTTAAATACTATACAATAGGAAAATACCAAACTACCCTTACAAAGATACAATAAAATAAAATAATATAATAACATCTAACATCTTCCTTCAAACTCAAGATGCATTAGTAGAAAGTATTGAAAGTTTATAAATCAAAAAATAAAAACGTTTAATGTAATGCGTCTTCGTAAACAAATCAGCAATCTGTAAAACAGAGGAAACAAACAATAAAGTAATTGTCTCATGCTGAAGATGATGACGAGTGAAGTGACAATCAATCTCAATATGTTTGGTACGTTCATGAAAGGCCGAGTTGTGGGCAATTTGAGTGGCACTCTTATTATCCCAATACATGGTATCGCAATGCGAAAAACAACCGGTAGAAAAATAGAGTCGTCATCGAACATTATTTATCCCGACGGGGGAAAGGAAACGACCGAAGAAACCTCAAAAAAGAGAAGGCATGGTCTCGCAACCAAATCCTGGGTTCGAGAGTCTATTACACGGGGGGAAGGTATTAGCACCCCCTCACGTCCGTTGTACTCAACGAGATCCACTCTTGTTGTTCTAATCAAAGGGTGTGCTTATCTAAAGCTTACTTGTTAAGGAGAAAAACCAAAGGAGACTTGATAGGACGTCGTTGTCCTAGACATACGTATTCCCTCGTGTAATGAAAAAGTCAAAATCAACGTAGTTTGGAGGACTATGGGTGAATGGGGAGATTGTTCTTGCTAAGACTTCGTCCTCTTGTGCCTACGTATCCTTATTCGGACAAGAATGAAGAAGTCAGAGCGTTCGTAGTTCGACCTACCACGGGTTAGTTGGTGTCTTTTATGAACGATGCTAAACTCATGTTCCAGCAGTTAGGGCCGACGCCTGTTTGCGGTAGAACGGAGGTAACATGCCCTTTCTGAAAAAGGTTTGGAAGGAAATCCTGAAGGACAAAATGGTTTGAATTTGTTTGAGGGTTTTAAAGAAGTGGATTAACTTTGTTTGTGACGTGCATCGCACTAAATTCTATGACATAGGATCGAGTACTTCGCGCTAACGATCCAAACATCTCGCGCACAAAGTACCCTAAGATGAGGTTAGAAATTCATCCGCTCATCTTTTCCCGTGTGCTTAAGGCTTGTGACGCACTTTACACATCGTCTTTATTAAGTGTATTATTTGATTTGAGAGAGGAAAGAGGG